TTCCCTCTCCAGCACCGCTCCCAATAACGCCTCAGAAATCGAAGCGACAAAAGAAAAATCAAAATAAAAAATTGATGCATTCAGTCTCGGTCAAACTCCACTGTCAGAGTTTGATACCCTAGTCTCAGAGCTACTCGATCAACCCTCAGTCCCTCTCCCCATCTCTGCACCCGACTTCCCTTTTCGCTAATACGCTCCCTCTCTTAGTCTCTTCTCTCTGCAAGGTGAAAAGCCTGCGATAAAAGTAATCGTTGGGACAAATCGGTGACTGAAATCCCCAATCACCAGAGCATCCATCAGCAACACTCCAGTACCCAAAAATCATCTGCCCCACAAAAGCTTCTCTATGACCAACGCGATTTTTCGCCCAGCGTGCTTCAGATCACTCCATAGTCCAAAGTCCAAACAAAAGAAAGGAAGAACAAACCGCAAATGACGGCAGAAGGTCTCAAGGGGCCCACCACGAACCAACAACCAATCAGAACTCGCTAAACAGTAAAATTGAGTATGTATGAATAGTAAAAACAGTCTGAATGTACAGTGCCAGGCGTATTGAGCTATTATACTTTTAATGTATTAGGGTTTGTAGTTAGTGGTGTTCATTTTGACCAAATTAACCTTTATCAAATTTTAACCGTATGATTAACTTTACATCTAATGGCTGAAGACTATGTTAGCACGGTGCTAACCCCTTAAGGGGTTAGTACTTAATCTTAGGAGATACGGTGCTAACTTCATAAGGGTTAGCACCATGCTAACTAGCATAATCACCATCCATTAATTATTTTTAATTCAATATGACGGTAGAAAATAGCAAGGGGCTTGTTTGGTATTTAGAAAAATTAAAATTATTAAATTAATCAAAATCCTTTTTTTCGCTCTCCTATTAGGAATTTTCTACGAGAGAGAATTACTACTTCACATTATATACAACAATTATTATAAAAGTAGTATTGATTTTTTGGTTTATTGTAGTAATTTCATGATCTTTGGTAGCGATTTTATTCTCAGTAGTAACAATTTAACTATTTTAAATTAGTAATGATTTATGATTTTTAGTAAAAATTACTACGGATAAATAATAAAAATATTATTACAAATGAAAAAACTACTATAACTACACAAAAAACACTACTATTTAACAAAAAACACTGCTTGTACAATAAGCATGACTAATTTTACAACTACAAGAGAATGTCTACAAATACAAAATACTACTACTGAAAGTCTAAAACACTACTACTCAATTCAAAATATTCCTCGTGCAATCAGAAAGATTGCAAACCCTCCCGAAATGCTGCAATTAAAAGTTGTAACTCCTCTCTCCCTTCCGCTGGTTTCCATGTTGTAGTCCGTCACCAATTGTGTCTCAGAGTGCACAGATCTGGCTTCCGTCGCTGGAGAATACGGTTGATCTAGGTAACCCTCGAACAGATTCAGACCCAGATCTTGCTGCTCGTCATTGACGGTGATGGTGAGACAAAGGTCGGCTTCCAATCCGGTGAATTTGACGGCGACCCTCATCTCACAAGTCGTCACCGCGGCTTGCCTCCTCCATTTCCATCGACGCCCTTCTCTTGTCACCGCCTGCCTCCTCCATCTCCATCGATGACCTCCTCTGTTCTTTAAGGCGTTCGTGATCGCGCCGCTGATTGGGGAAAAGAGAGAATGTGATGGGAAGGGTTTATGAAAGAGGATAGAAGAGGTGGACGGTTTCAGAGAGATGAGAGGCGACCATAATATGCCCTATATATATTAGGGTTTGTGGTGACTAGTCTCAATTTTGACCAAATTAACCTTTATGAATGTCTAACCGTAGGATTAAATTTAAATCTGATGGCTGGAAATTTCGTTAGTACGGTTCTAACCCCTTAAGGGGTTAGCACTTAATCTCATTCCAAGTTATATGGATACTGGTGAATATCTTTTTTATCTTGTAATAACTAGCACAATTTCGCTGGATGAAAACTTTTGTTATGATATTACATCAATAGGATATTGGAAAAATGAAACATTCATGTCAACAGTTAAAATTTCTACTTTGGGAGTCACCTCTGATCAATCGATAAGATTTTGGGTTGGCAGAACCTTCGTGCAAATGACAAAAATTTCTATACTTCCTTAATATCATTAGTGTCTTGAATAAGTAGAACAATCATCATAATGACAAACTTTTATACTTTTGGAGTTACCTCAAATCGACAAGATCTTGAGTTTTTTACTTTTTTTTTTTGAATGGAAACTGTATTAATTAATTAAGATGCAAAGTTGGAGGTTCCTCCCATATCCTCCCTAAGAAGGGGTACAAGAAACCGAGGTGGGTTATCAACCCATATCTCCTCACCCTCCCAATCACACTCAACATGGGCCATCAGATGGGCTGGTCCATTAAATTTTCGGCCCACAAAGTTTCACTGAACATGGTTCAGGGTTTGGGCTGCGGCCCGTAGCTCAGCACAGATCAAGCCACTCTCAGTCTCCCTGTCTTCTTCCCTTCGAAGTTGTTGAATTATTCCTTGGCAATCCGATTCCATTTCCATTTCCAGTATCTCAAACCTTCTAGCCAAATCCAAACCAAATTCGATCGCCATGGCCTCTGCTTCCTCAGGGTTCCAATGGGTTATGGATCGTCGAACTCCAGCAAACATGAACCTCCCTTCTCCGTCCCTGATTACTGCACCCCAACCCGTTCCTCGGTCCGATATACAAGCTGCATCAACATTTATCTTCACCGGAGCCGACTGTGGTGGCTGCCATCCCTGTATCTCGTTTCTTGCCGTCGATCGAGGGCTCGATTGTTTCTCCAGGTAATCCTTCAACCAATTGCTCGCCCTGGGCAGAATTTCCCACTCTTCTAATTTCTCTTTATTCCACAAATGGCAGTTGCATTGGTCCCAGATGTACCAGAGCGCCACAAGAAATTCACCCAGCATTTCGTCAGATTCCGATTCTTGGAGCTCACAGTACCATTCTTCTGAGGTAAGATCTTCCCCCCTTGCTATGTATGGATCCATAGGGCTAGTTCTCCAAACCCTTCGAACCCAGTCACATTCTCGAAAGATATGGTTCTGCGTTTCTCAAAGGCTACAGAAGGGGCAGTGTTCGCTTCCCTTTTGCATTCGATCATAGATCCTAGCTCCCGTAGGGATTATATTCCTTAGCCAACGCCAAGCAAAGATCCGAACTTTAGGAGGAATCCCTAGGCTCCAGAACCTTTTCCAATTTACTAGCGAATAGACTTCCCCCAATTCTTCTTCATTTTTGCTTTCCCACAGTCTGTATGCTGATTTCACTGTGTATTTCCCTGTCTTTTAAACTCCCCAGATTAACTTATCTTCAGTAGGTTGCCTGGGGATGGGAATTTTCTATATGTTTATGCGATCCCTAGGATTGAAATGTCTCTGGAGCACATTTGTGCGCCAGCTCCTCCCTTCCAAGTCAATTAGTTCAGCTACTGATCAGGTTGAAGCATCCCAGTTTGCAACTGGGGATGTTACTTTCTGAGTTGTGCTCGAGGGCACCCATTTATCCAACCAAATATCAATTTTGGTGCCATTACCAACTCTCCATCTCATTCCCCGTTTCACTAACTCCTTCGCAGCCAGTAAACCCCTCCAAACCCAGCTCGAGTTTCTTCCAATTTCTGCTTCCAGAGGATTTCTATCCTCATAATACTTTGCTTTTAGGATCCTTGCTACTAGAGTATCAGGGTTCTGAATGACACGCCACAGTTGCTTACCAAGCAGAGCTAGATTGAAGCTTTGAAGATTTTTAAAACCCATACCTCCCATTTTCTGAGGCTTGCAAAGTTCCCTCCAATTTATCCAATGTGTTCTTCCTTCCTACTCCTGCTGTCCCCACCAAAATTGTGCCACTGCTCGTTTTGCTTCTTTGAGAATACTAGGTGGTATCTGGAACACTGGCATAGCATATGTCATCTGTGCCTGTGCCACAGCCTTGATCAAAACTTCTTTCCCTGCTACTGATAGTAGCTTGCCTTTCCATGTTTTAACCTTTGCTCTAACTCGATCAACTAAGTAGCCAAAAGCCTGCTTCTTTGATCGACCTAGCATTGTAGGGAGGCCTAGGTATTTCTGGTGGTATGCCACTGCTTTCATGTTGAGTAACTCTGCTAGTTCTTTCCTTTTCTCCTGTCTCACATTAGGGCTGAACGATAGTTCAGATTTGTAAAGATTTACCTGCTGCCCCGATTCAGCTTCATACAAGTTCAAGATAGCTTTAACCTTTTCACATTCTGCCTTAGTTGCCTTTAGGAAGAGGATGCTATCATCAGCAAAAAGTAGATGAGTAATCTGTGGTGCTTGTCTCTTCACTCTTATTCCTTCAATCTGCTTGTCTCTTTCTGCTTTAGTTATTAGAGCAGATAAGCCTTCCACCACAAACAGAAATAGATAGGGGGATATAGGGTCCCCCTGTCTTAATCCCCTACTAGGGTAGAAACACTCAGTCTGATGTCCATTAACCAAGGAGAGAAGGAAATAGACGTGACACATGTCATGATCATCTGAACCCATTGTTGATGAAAACCCAGCTTCAACATAATTGCCTCCAAAAAACCCCACTCAACCCTGTCATAGGCTTTAGTAATATCCAACTTTGCTGCCATGAAACCTTTATTCCCAGCCTTCCCAGCATTTAGTAATATCCAACATAATTGATAAAACAATCGTATTATAATAACATGTTATAAATACTTGCACCCAGAAATGAGAATAAAAAACAAAAACAAAAAAATCCAAGTAACACCACATTTATTTCATACTCTCCAAAATACATATTATACCAAAAGCTAAACATAACTTATAACATATAGAGAAAGAAAGAAATGGTTTTAGTGTGTCTTCTTCTTCCTCTCCAAACCTACCTTTATTTATATTGACGTGACTCATGAGTGCATGGGACATAGATGCTTGGGATACAGTCATCAGATAGATGCATTTTCTTAGCGGGTAGCTATGGAATTGATGGTTAAGAAAATTCTACGCATCCAAACAAGACTGCACAAATTTCTTCAGCACTCCACCGTTGAACTCCTTCCCTTTCTCGGCGTCCATCACCTCCCAACCATGAAACCCGCCGCTCTCGAAGTGGGCCACCACCTCGATCCCTTTCTCTTCCATCATCCTCGCCGTCTCCTTGCACCGGTCAACCAGCGGGTCCCCCTCGCAGTCAACCACCGCCACCTTCCACCCGGCGGCCCTCACATCCTCCAGCAACTCCGACCCGCCGCCTCCGGCCATCGGGTTGCAGTACTGGTGGTCACGGTCCGCACCGTGCGGCAAGCTCAGTTCCCAACACAGATCCGCCGTCTCCAGCGCCAACGTGGCGTTGACCGCCAGCCGCTCCTCCGATCCGGTCCTCTCCACCCCGCCGAAGAACGCGTGGTGCAGCATCACCCCTCGGATCCGCAACGAACGAGACCATACATGATTCGAAATTGCCCGTGTCCTCTTTTCATAATATAAATATATAAATAAATTATTATTTAATAAATATAATTAAAATGAGGATAAAAAAGGAGAGGTGGAAATAATCGCTGCTATCTTGTTTCTTCATTTTTTTTCCCCAAATTTTCTAAAATTTACCTGTGTCTCGGGACAATGTCCAACCTCCCTTCCTTTGTTGACTTGGACCGCGGTGCGGAGGGCAACAAGGTAGGCTATGTTGCCTCCCGCGCTGGTCCCCATCAGGAAGCAGTTTTCGTAGTCCGCGTGGTCCCTGAGCCAGGGCTCGTCTCCCGCGGCGGCGGGGGAGGCGAGCCAGCGGAGGGCCTCCTCGCAGTCGTCGTAGGCGGCGGGGAGGCGGTGCTCGGGGGCGAGGCGGTAGCCGACGGAGGCGACGACGGCGGGGAGCTGGAGGGCGGCGTTGGAGCAGTAGTCGTGGAAGTTGGTTGTGGACGGGTTGCAGATCACGAAGCCGCCGCCGTGGAAGTAGATCAGGAGAGGGAGTTTGGCCGGAGGGGAAGAGTTGAGTGATCGCTTGGGCAGGAAGAGGCGGAGGGAGGTGTTTTTGGATTGGTTGATTGGGATGTCTTTGGAGAGGACTGGAATCGGTCAGGTCGGGTCGGGGCAGGGTTCGGACCTTGGGTCGAGTGGCAGGGGTTGGCGAGTGAACGTGCCGTCGGAGTTGGGAACCAGGCCGAAGAGCTGGTAAGGATTCATGGCGGCGGCGGCTTCTTTTCTCTTTGTGCTCTGCTTTCTGAAATGATTCGGTTCGGCCGACGCTGCAACTTCGGCATATGAATGAGACTGAATTTGGGCCAGATTTGGGCTTGCAGATTCTACCGTTTCTGGTTTCAAGTTATCAACTCATACTTCCTGGGCTGAGTAAAATAAGAGCCCAATGAATGAGTTGATAGTTTAGAGCTTGGAATTTTTTTTGCTTGATAGTGCAAATCGTTAAAATATGCTCGCCATTCTTCTTTTTAGTATTTTCTACATTAAAATCCTTCTAATAGTATCTTTTCTAGAAATCAATTTCAAGTCAAATTTTTTACTTCATTTGACAGGCTCTCTGCATGAGCATTTATCAAGTCGAATTGAGGTAGATTGCTTCAATTTGAACGGTGCTCGATCTGAGCTCGAGCTAGACAACTAGTAAAAGAGCCAAAATCTAACCGGTAAAAACTTGACTCAAATGTACTCGATACCCGCTCTAACATATCGTTTAGTATATAAATGAAAGAGAGAATGCCGGCCTGAGTCTCGACTAAGAGGAAACGAAGAGATTTTTTTCATTTTCTTTTCAGTTTCGTTTTTTCTTTTTTTAATTATTTGGGTTTGGATTTTTTAACCCAAGTTCATGGGTAAAACCCAAGTGCAGGGGCGGACCCAGAGAGGTTTAAGGGTGTCCCCGGATACCCCTAAATTTTGGGAAAACGATTATCCAACCCCCGGTAGTAATTTACGTATGAACCAAAAAAATATAATTGATAGTAAGGGACAGCCCTTAAATTTGAAAAAATGATTATCCTTCTGTCATTTGTGTATAGCAATATAAGTGGTAGGTTGGATAATTCAAATCTAGAACACTATTATTATTAATAAACTTAATTTTCGTTGAGCTAAACTCATTTGTTATTCGATTTTGAACAATGTGAGTAAGATGGCATTCCCTATCTCTAATTATTTTAAAAATCTAACAATTAAACTAATTTCAAACTACCCTTAATTTGTATTGATTTTATGATTGTATGGCAAGTGTTGAAAGAGTCTTTCAGCTTTGGGTTACATCAAGAACAAGTTTACAAATCTTATATGCGATAAGTTCGTGAATGATTGTCTAGTAGTGTATATAGAGACAATTTTTTTAACACTATAGACACCAAGTGTATTCTACAATTATTTCTGAATATGAAAACATATCATGGACTTTTTTAACCTATACGAGTAAGGTATTTTCTTATTTACAATTTTATTTTATTTAATTTATTTTTTAAAAGAGGACACCCCTATGAATAATTTCTGGGTCCGCCACTGAAACCCAACATAATGGGTATGGTTATTGACCCATCTGACTTTATCCATTTACACTTTAATTGGATTTCAGACCCAACCCAAATGGGTTAGATAGTTATAAACCCATGGACATGGGTATAATTGTCAAGCCTACTTAAGGGGTTAGCACTTAATCTCATTCCGGGATTTGGATTTTTAAAGCTAAGCTTAACTGGATGGAGGGAGAATGGGCAAACGCTGCCGGCTGCCGCCCTGCCGCCGCAGTAAAGTGCTAAATGCATAATGGTCACTAACTTTGACGTCTATAACAGAATAGTCACTAATATTGTAATAGTTAACAAAGTAGTCGCTAATATAGTAATATTTCAAGAGATATAGATGCAATATAATATACAAATTTTAAAAATTTTAGGTACTAGAATGTAATAGTAAAAAGTTAAGTACCAAAATATATTTTAATTATACTTTCATTAAAAAATAAAATTTAGGTATCAAATTGTAAAGCAATAGCGGTATCAAAATATTATTTGCCAACAATTCACGAACCCACTAATCCAATTGAATTTGGATTGAATAGATTGAATTTAAATAGATTGATTTAATTGAATATTTAGTGGATGGATTGACACCTGAAATTCAAGTAAATGACAAAGACACAAAGCTAGAGCAACTCAATTTCTTCTCTTCGACAGAGCGTGGTTTGTAAACGAAGGAGAGGATGAAATTCACAAAAATTAGGATGACAGACTTGGTTTTCGTTGGGCATAGTGATCGAGTGGGCTGTTAACACGAATCGGGTAGTACCATGATCTGGTCCGGTAAATTGTAACATGAACCAGGTTACATCAGACCACGATATAAAAAAACCGTATAATACAAACCATTGACTGAACGAAATAATTCTTAATCGTCTACGATTTGAATCAAACTGTGCGATCCGACTTGATCCATGTTTTTTTCAAACAATCTAATCTATTTTTTAAGCTCATTAACGGGTTTTTAATATTTTTAATGAAAAAGTTATTAACGGATAATTGGCGTTTTTAATTGTGGGAGAAAAGTTTACTGTCCATTGCTGAATATATAATAAAAATATAAAACCGGGGCAATATAAGAGATACTAATTAAGCACATGGAAAGTGTGATTGAATCTAGACATTAGGAGGAATAATGCTGCGGCTGAGTATGAACCAAAGTCATATGTTACGGCTCATTTGTCCACCAATTATTTCGTCTCACGTGTATGAATTATTATGTCTCAGTAAGTAGCACAGCATCGATTCAACTATTATCACAATAGTTAACAACAAACCTATTAAAGGGCCATGGTCATTTTCATTGAGTTTAGTTGAGAAGATGGACGGTGAAGATGAGCCAACATAACAACATTATTGGAGCTCTGTGCTTGTGTAATGCAATCTCGAATGGTAAAGCAAGTGGAGGCAGAGATTTAATATTAACAAAGGATTGTGATTGTCAGAGTGAGTCCACCACCTACTATCCTTCTCTCTCTCTCATCACCACAATTAACCCTTCAAAAATTTCATATTATATTGAGCCGGGATGTGAGAGTATACTATACTTTAAGTACTTTTTGTTAGATATTTTCATTTAGATCATCTAATGAATAAACTCTTGTAGTGATTAAAATTTGAAACCATCTCATTGAGTATTACCTGATCCGACCTGTGTGGGGCAGGTAATATCCGACCAATAGCACCATCGGATGAAGCATGAGTACTACATCCGCCCCGCCCGCCCCGCCACTGTTCTTGACCCACTCTACCTCGATTCATATATATATTTCTCCTATTCTGACTTACCCTAACTCATATTTTCACCCAGTGATGCTTTAGTCTTACAGCTAATTGGACTCTATTAGTCTACCTATTATATATATATATATATATATATATATATATATATATATATATATATATATTATTTATGAACTTAGTTTCTTTTTATTTATCACTAAAAAGTAAAACGCTTACCTTTAAAATTATATATGAGAATGAGTTGATCTGCCCCGACTTGTACCCCGCGCGTGTATAATTACCTGACCTTACCCGCGCTTGGTGTCGGTATGTGTATTGAGCTACCCGCCTAACAAAACCCCAGATTCCGATTTTCCACACCCAAATCCGAAGATCAATTTCATACAAAACAATAACGAACAATTCTAACTTGCCCACATTCAACGCGGTCGAATCACTTAGAGTATGATATACTCGAGAAGAAGTAAGCTACTCATTACTCATATTATATACTAATAACTTTTTGATTTCCTTTCACTTCTTATTTAGACGGGAAGCATCTTGGCATTAAGAAATGGAGCTAAGCTAGGTGGGGTTCATAACTTCATATATACAATGATGCAGAAGATCACAATACCCTAACCACCGTATCCCATATATTCCCCTCCATTGCTGTCCCCCGCCCTAACCCTTTCTTCCCATCTGAAAAAAAACAAGTACAGTGAATACACCCTTCTTCTTTTTCGGCTAAAAAAACAAGGACAAAAAAAGTCTTGATTGAGCAGCCGATGTTTCCTTTATTCCAAGGCAATGAGCTGTGCTTCCAGATCTCCTCCTCCTCCTCATCACCATATCCTCAAGATCTGATTCTCCCCACCAACACCACTCCTACTCCTATACCTAACCCTCACCATACTTATCATGCTCCTGCTCCACGGCGGCGGAAGAAGCCGGCTTCTGATCCTTCCGTCATGGAGAATAGTATTAGCGGCGGTGCAGCTAAGGACGGCGGCGGCCAGGAGCAGCACGAGAAGAAAGTGATGCACAGAGAGATCGAGAGGCAGCGGCGGCAAGAGATGGCCACCCTCTACGCTTCCCTTCGTTTCCTCCTCCCTCTTCACTTCATCAAGGTCAACCCTTACTCGAGTTCTTTCTTCTTCTTCCTAAGAAATCTTTTGGTTTATTTAAAAAAAGTTTTTTTTTTTTGTGGGATGTACGTATTTTTGCAGGGAAGGAGATCGATGTCGGACCACATGAACGAGGCGGTGAATTACATAAAGCACTTGCAGCGGAGGATCCAAGACCTCGACGCCCACAAGAACCAGCTCGTGATTGTGAAGAAGAAGAATGCTACGTTGACCAATAATATTGGCTCGAGTAGTGCTACTACCGCTTCTGTCACTGCGAGGCCAAGCGGTGGGCATCCGACGGTGGAGGTCCGGCGGTGTTTGGGCGGCTTGGAGATCGTGCTGGCGGAGGAGGGCGGCGGCGGCAGCCTGCGGCTGTCGAGGGTGATGCGGTTGTTGGTGGAGGAAGGGGTTTCGGTGGTCAACTGCGTCTCCACCGTAGTCAACCGGAAAAGCTTCCACACGCTCCTTGTTGAGGTAATTATTGTGTTGAATCTAGGGTTTCTAGTAAAGGAAGAAACAAATTAGATGTTTTGGTGAAAATGTTTTTGGTCGCAGGTTGAGGAGCCGACAAGCTTCGACACACGTGCGCTGCAGCAGAAGCTGATGAGGATTAACTTAATCCTTGATCATTAGTTTCGGTTTGATGATCACGATGTTTGATTAGTTTGATGATCATGTAGGATTAATTAGCGATGGTTGATGGTCTCCTGTTGGGGGGTTTGGTTAATTTAGTGCTCATCATGAGAGTTAATAATGGTGGTGAGGTGATCCAACTATTAGTTTCCCTTTCCTAACCACCAAGCTTAGCTAGATTAACTTAATCCTTGATCGTTAGTTTCAGTTTTTTTTTTTGGTGCCAAGGTGGGATTGATTCAGCATTAACACGTACGATAACAGTTAATCACATTCTAGTTTTGATTTCCTGAGGTGGGACGAACTACATGATTAATTACCTTGGTGTTTCGTTGTTAATTAACTAGATGCATATATATAGTACTTTTTTTTTACATGGTTTCAGATGTGCATGGTAGTTGATTTATAGCTTTTTTTTCTTATGATATCTTTAATTTCCTTCTTGGCTTAACATTCTTGAGGTTAATGCTAGCTATGGTTCCATTTGTGGTTTAGATATCTTTAAATGTGGGGAAAACACCAATATTATGTCTCATACATCTAACTGTTTTTAATTATAACCACGGTCCGCGGAAGCTTGGAGATCAAATTATGATGACTATCGTTCTGTTGAATTTTATCGATTTTTCTTTACATGATGGCACTATATCATACATTTGATAGGGTGGATTGGAGAGAGTATAGTTAATAAGGGTGGTAAAGATTTTGGTGGTGACCAGACCAAAATCTTCATTTCATTTGTTTATTCAGTTTTCTGATCATGAGCTAGCATAATGTATATCTTCATTGATTTGTGCTCCCCGCATGATATTCTTGATCTTGTTACCAGCTGGAACATTATCCAAATTCTAATGGTGGCCATACAAATTACATATGCATTTGTCTGTCGCCCACGGGTGACCTTAAACTTTACATATATCTGTTCCTCATTACAGTCTTACAGTTGTCAGACAAGATATGTCTTCTAAGTTCTAACCAATCCATGCCAGCATTGCATCCCACCTCTGCATGTTTGTGTCAGATTCGACATAGTGACTTGGAATTGTTGCATATTTTTGCATATTAACTATTGTTTATTTAGTTGCAAAAAAACTTCTCAAAAAAAAAAAAAAACTATTGTTTATTTCTGTACTGCAGTACTACTTATGCATTGTCTTTTTTTATTGGCTTTTGTACTGGGAGTTACTGATGAATACACAATGATGTAAATTCAGGATGCTAGCAAATTAAGTTTGTTTTCTTAGTTCCAAGTGAATGGAAATGTGAAGCAATTATTCCAGTGATAGATTAGAGGTTATGGCTAGTTAGTTAGTTGTAAAGGTAAGTAAGTGTACTACTTTATACACATGTGTTTGAATTATATTGTCCAGTGAATAATGTGGATCGTATATAAAGGCGATCTGCAGTATCCTGATGATCAATTATATGCGTATCTGTTACTGGAAAATATATATTGCCAGCTCACAATGATCTGATCTTCCCTATTATTATCCTTCCCTCCTAGCTAGCTGACTCACTTAAATAAAAGGGTATTGCTGGGCTGGAAGATTCCTGCATTATGAGCTTCAATTCATTTTGATTTACTTGTTAACTGTTTCCTGTTAGTTATATTAATGTCTTCATTTTGATTCTGTGATAAGTAAGTAGTAGTAAATAGTAATGCTGCAGCAGTGTTTAGCAGCCCATTATATCGTATTGGCTGGTCAATAATAGGAAACACTCAGCCTTTTGTGCACTTTGAGTAGATCGAGTCGAGGAGTTCCTTGACCTTGAGCAATCTGATTAGTGGTGCATTCGTGACAGCTGCTCGCCATTGTTTGCCTTGGATGATAGGAGAAAATGAGACTATATATCCTTTGCTTTACAATCTTAACGTTCATCTTTGCTGGCATGTAAGCGAAATGTGTTATCTAGGTTTTGACTTTTAAGCAGCTTATGCAAGACTTGCCTTTATATACCTTTCCAATAGTAGCCCCACCTTTCTCACCTTCTTCTTCAGGCTCAAGATAGGGGTGAGTAACCTTAAAGTGAGTAACAATGAGTAACTAAATCTGGACCCTTCTTTTAAGTGAGAGCAGATCTAAGGGTGGAGAATTAACAGCCTGTTTGGATTGACAAAAAAGTAAGGAATTGGAATTCCATTTCCAATTCCATTTCCATATATTATGTTTGGAATAATAAAAAGGTTGAGAATTGAATTCTAATGGGTCTAAAATATGAGAATTACAATTCCTATCAAAAGTGATAGGAATTGAGAGCATGAAGATGGAATTAGTGGGACCCATCAATACTTTTTATTATTTTGTTGACCCACTATCATTTTACTCTCTTTCTCTCTCATTCATATTTCATTTCCCAAAATAAAACAAACATATTACATTATTCATTATGGTTAAAAGTGCAATTCATTTCCATAGCTGTAGGAATTATACCAAACACTAGAATTGGAAATGGAATTCTATAAAAATAAAAAATTGAATTCCATTTCCATTTCTTCCGGAATTGTATCCAAACAGGCTGTAAAGGAATTTGTTTTCCCTAGTTTTCTTAATTGGATCATATCTTCTTCATTCTAACTCGGATTTCAGTTTTTTTTTTGCACAGATGGAACGAGTTCGTTGTGCTCTACAAAATCATATCCATTTTCAATATTTTTTGAAATTTTTTTTCCATCCCTCTCGTTACCAACTCCATACCATATGGGATCTCCTTCGTTGTTTAGTCATTTTCGGAAATTTTTGCACAAAAGGAACGATTTAATCATATGATCTATTGGATTTCAAAATTTTCTGGGGGAAAAAATTTCAAACCTCTCGTTACCAACTCCATACCATACTATACCACCCTGGTATGAGGTGGTATTTTTCATACCATATGGTATGCTGTTATTTAATATCATATGGTATTGACTAGTATTAACTATACCATATGGTATGCTGGTAATAATTGGCAAAAAAAATTTGTTCCAAAAAATATCAAAGTGGATATCATTTTGAAGAGCACAATTAATCTGATTTAACTGTGCAAAAAGAAATTAAATTCCGAGTTAAAACGAGTGAAAAATTGTCCGTTAAAGATTAAGGGAAAGAAAATTAATGATTTTTTCAGGAGAGAGAAGGAGGGCGCTTATGTGGCAGATTTTTATTGGGTTATGTATGGGGTTACTCACCACAAGGTTAATCACCGGATCTGCTCCCTTTTCTTCTTATTAAGTGAAACCGTACCGGAAGTTATATTGGGAAAGGTAGTAATAGGGTATCTTGTACTAAAACTGTGATTTACCATTTTGTACCTGCTAAAATCGCTTACCATTTGGGGTCCGGTATCCAGCATTTGCGGTTTAACCGGACGATGTGGTAATATTTATAACACATTGGTTTCTGCCAAAAAAACACCCACTCGGTCACCATTAGTTCGGACTCATGGAACGATCAATACGAGGTGGCTCTCGATTTCCACACTCCGACTATCAGTATTAATTTTGTAGCAAAGAAGAAGATGAAGAGTAGAAAATAGAGAGAGTAGAGAGATAAGTGATATGTCACAATTAAACGAAAAGGAGAGAGCACCTTTTTGAAAGGGCTTGTCCCAATTTATAGATAAAGGTTTGCGACACGCAGGGGCGGAGCTACACAGGACCTAAGGGAGGCCCCGGCCCCCCGAGAATTTTGAAAATCATGAAAGAATGTACGAGTATTCTGAAAATTACGAAGTAAATACAGGTTTTATAATAATGGCCACGGGTTAAAATGTATCTATGGAAGCTGATTACCGTAATGGAGTTGTAGTGGTTCTGTATTCGGCAGGTTAGCGGTTCAATCCCCACTTATGTCAATTTTTTGGTTGGAGTTTTTTACAATTTATAGCTTTAATGGAAAAATTTCCCCCGATAAGTTTAACAACAATGTCAATTTAATTATTTGACAAAACATGTCGTATATTTTGATAATTCACGCAATTAATTTATTTATATAGTTCTATAATTATTTTGATTTTTGTCTAGTTACGATAGTATACGAAACATTTTCGGCCCCCCCAAACACAAAATCCTAGCTCCGCCCCTGGCGACACGCCCTTGATAGCTAGTGTTTTGCGATCAAGTTGGACTCGTACGTATTCGTGGATCATAATTTAAATTTGGGTCGTGTTACGTCATACTTACAGGCCAAATTAACTTTATGGCATGTTCCTCCTAATTATGAGTTGTGACTAGAAGGGGAACTTAGCTTCCAGGTGTTGTGCAAACTCGAAAGTTACTTATCATGTTGATTCTGCTAAGATCTGTTGTTTTCTCTGGATTTGTGGATTGTGGGAGCATCTCCATGCACTCTCTATTCAACGTGTTGCTCTCCGGAGAGAATAATTTTCCTCATGATGTTCTAGAGTGCCAACCTGACTATTTGTTTGCACTCTCTATTCCTATATCTTTTTTCACAAAATCATTTATATTACAATTTACAACTAAGACAACTAAGAGCATAAATCAAAACCAATAAAATGCATATACAACAACAACAACAACAAATTAAGGGCTTTAAGTGCTATACCATGAATAACCCTAAGAGCAGAAATCGATATTTTATTTAGACGTCGTCATGATGACATATTTAATGAGCTCTTTCTCCATGATTATGTAAGCTAAGCACACAAAAAAAAATATTGAAAAAAGGATTATAATTGAGCTTTGACCTTTGACTCAGCTGCATTATATAATTGAGCTTAAAAATAAAAAAAGATTTATACAATAAATTTATATGGATTTTCATTATGAATCGTTTAATATGCCTATACCAGTATACCTACATCAACAACTGATTAAATCGTTTAAATTAATATAAGTATTTTCATTAACTTAAATCAATTCAAAGAGTGGCCAGATCACCATTGATCCTACCTGATCTATATTGTGTATCAAGGTTGTCAATCCGGTTTAGTCCGTTGGTCCGGTCGAACAAATGAGTTGAGGGTTAATGGATCGACAGTTTTAATTTGGTTTAACCCTTATAAATGAAAAAAAAAGTTATTGTATTCTTCATACATTTATAAATTATATCAAATGTCATCTAACATATGAGTGAGAACATATAATATTACACTAAAATAACATGTCATACTTAGATCCAACATTTAGTAAAAATTCAGACACTTATATAACACCAATATTTAAATGTTCAACTTAGAATTTCAAAATAGGGTTAGGCGAAGAGGACAATCGAAAAATAGGGTCATTTTGCAAACAAAGGGGGAAAAAACAGTGTAACCTCCACCTCGGTACCTTTAGAGCGAGTTGATCCGGTGGGTGTATACGACCCGTTTTTCTCATCTGGCCAGGGTCAAAACGGGT